CGACTCTTAGACTCTGTGACTGTAAGACCAACCTTATTCTCTAGCATGTAGAGCCCCATCCACCATACATCATCTACCAATCGTCTTTCCCGAGGCCAGATCCTGGATCACACTGTAAGAAGGGAAAAATGTCACTAAGTAGTTTAAGGAATTAGTAATACTACTAACAGAGAACAAATTAATGGAAAATTTCGGGACATGTAAAAACATTAGACAGGGTAAGGCCAAAAGGAAGAGAAATGGTTCTTTGACCAGTTATGGTAGAGTATGATCCATCAGCTAGTCTCACCTTGTCTCTTCTAGAAAGGAGGTGATAGGTTTGAAAGTGAGAGGACTTACTAGTCGTGTTTAGATGCTCCAGAATCAATGATCCAAGGAGTGTCAGGGGAGCGGGATGCTACATGGAAAGTTGTGGCAGAGTTACCTGATGTAGACGCAAATGAAGTTGAGGAAAGAGCATCTATCTCTCCAGAATCAATGATCCAAGGAGTGTTAGGGGAGCGTGATGCTACATGGGAAGTTGTGGCAGAGTTACCTGATGCAGACGCAAATGAAGTTGAGGAAGGAGCATCTATCTAACAAATTGGTCTACCATAGAGCTCCGAATGGTCACGAAAGGAATTAATAATATCTTCCCTTAGGTCAGATCCAAAGACATGTGTCTGAGTTATAGTAGTAATAGGGGGTTGATCCTCTTGAGTAGCCATGTTTTTCATAGTGTGCTTTCTTGTACCTTGCTGTCCTGACTTTTTATTCAGATCTGAACCTTGCTTCTTACTCAAATCTTGAGCCTATTTCGGCTTTCCATGAAGATCCCAGCATGTATCTCGGGTGTGTCAGGGTTTCTGGCAATGAGTACACCACAATTTGTCTTTGTCATCCACCCTTTTTCTGAAAGTCCCCCTTAAAGGTATTTCCCCCACCTGTAGTAACACTCCCTTTTGCTGCCAACACAATTGCATCCCCTCCAGAATTGTTCAGCAAATTCCTTCTACTTTCTTCTGATTGTACTAGAGCATAAAATTTCTGGGCAGATGGAAGATCCTTGCTACCTAGGATCTGGACTCTGATAGATTCATATTCAGGATTCAAGCCATGGAGGAAAGCAAACACTCTTTGCTGGGAAACAAGTTTCTTGTACAATTTTGCTTCTTCATCACACTTTCAATCAAGGATTCAAATATCGATACGATACGTCCGATATGGGGCGTATCGTATCGGTATCGTTAGTGTCCAGCACAGGATACGCTACAACGTTATATGTATCCTGCCAATCGTGTGTATCGGGCCGATATAGATGTGTATCGGTCTGTATCGCATTGTATCGGCAGGTACATATCGATACGGATTGATACGCTACCCGCAAAATGCGAATGTGCATGCGCATACTCGTCTACTGAAAAAGAAATTTGCAAGATTCGAACCCGCATCTAGAGATAAAGAAGAGCTTAATGTCCGTGCCTAAAAGCCACTAAGCCACTCCATCTTTTGTGTTTATGACTAAATGATTACGGATCTTATTTCTTTATTACTTAAGTGCAATTCAAATAAATAATACATATATGGTTAACTCCAACTAAAAATTTAAAAAGTAATACTTAAAATCAGTATTTTATAAAGTAATAGAAATAAATAATATATCAAATCCACATTTATATCAAAATATTATTTGAATCTCAAAAACTTATAAAAATATAATATTAATAAGAGAATAATTATTTTAGTACTTAAAATTTATAAATTTGCACATGATATAAATATATATATATATATTAATTTACATGACATAAAATCATATCTATTATTTAGAAAATAAAATCATTGTTTACAAAATATTCAAGAATATAATCTTAAATTGAATCTATCAAATCTACTAATCTACATTTATACCAAAAAAATATTTTTAATTAGAAAATTATAGGAATAAAACTATAATAATGGAATAATCACTTTAAAAGTTAAAAATTATGAATTTGCATATGATATGTATCTTAGAATTTTTAATAGATTTGATATATTTTAAGTTCAGATTATACATTTTATAAATTATTAATGGATATTTATTTTACATAGATAATTTGATATTTAGTTGACCTCTTTGTTAATGTAAAAACGTAAAAATAGTAAAATAAAAATATTTGATATAATAATTAAATTATAATAGGAAAATATGTTTTGCATTTTGAACTCTTGATTGATACATCATCAATAAAATTGTATGATATTTCTGCATCATATTATATTAATTGTAATATATTTTTTTCATATACACCATTAAAATATACGTTTTTTATGTATTTATACATTATTTATGGTTATTTGACCTTAAATTTAATATTATTAATGTATTATGAAATTTTTATGTGTTTCCCTAGTGTATCCATATTTTTCATCCATATCCATGCATTTCCAAAGCATATCTGTATCCGTATCCGTATCCAACTTGTCCGATACGATACTCGATAACAATACTTTAATCCTTGCTTCCAGTCCACACTTTGATAATGATCTAACTCCTTCTAGATAGAGGTTAAGTTTGAATTGTACACAGAAAGGCACCTCTTCCCCTGTTTACAAGCGGATGATTCTGCCTGTAACTGGTAAATTTTTGCATAGTGACACAACTCAGAATAAGTTAATTTTGCTTGTTCCCAGATCTCATTTGCCGTTTCAGCCCACATAAAATTCCTTCTTATTTGAGGTTGCATAGACACTAAAAGCCAGGACATGACCATGTTGTTTTCCTGGTTCCATCTATCATATTCAGTACTCCTAGAATTGGGTTCTTTGATTCTCCCATTTATGTATCCTATCTTTCCCCTTGCAGTAATGTATAACTTATCCCTCTTGACCACTCTAAATAATTTAAGCCATCAAGGGGAATAACAGCCATGGGAAGGGATAGGTCCACACCCCCACTCATTCCATTCTGCATTGAGGAAACACCAGATGTAGCAAAATCTTCACCGCTCATGGTTACAGATTCAAAAGGCTCTTAAAGTGGTCACAAATCCTTTAAAAAAGTCTAACACCAAGGGCAAAAGGAACCCTTTTTTTTTCCGGAAGCACCCCCCCTGTTTTTAAACACAGGTGCTGTTACAGCACCAACAGCAGGTCATCCCTTGACCTACAGAATCAAAACTGGTTGCTGTCACAGTGCATACAGGTCGTCTCGTGACCTACGCATCAAACAGAGATGCTGTTAAAAGCATGTACAGGTCACTCTCTGACCTTCAGGTTCACCATAAAAGCTGCTATCGCAACACACAAAAGGTCTTCACCAACCTACAGTTTTTTACAGGGATCAGTCGATCCCACAAAAAAGGAAAGAAAGAGGTGCTGATCACCTCACATCCAACCAGCAGACCTAGTATAGGTTCTGCTCTGGCACACGACCAGAAAAAAAAAAAGAGGAGAAGGAGAGAGATTACTTCAGTGCATGGGAAAACTGGATCTTCAATCACCCGAACAGTAGATGAGGACGGCAGATCTGAAAATTTGGTGCGAAGGAAACAGTTCACTTGATCTCTCCTTTCTGATAGTCCCGCTCTGATACCATGCTACACAGGAGAGAAGAAGAGAGGAAGAGAGATTTGAGAGCCAAATTAGTATTTATACTAGGGTGATAGAATATAAAAAATAAAAGGAGAAAGTTATAATAGTACCCCTGCGGTACTATACTTAAAGAATTAACAGTTTTTAACAGCTTGTATGGAATCACTCTTTCTTTCTAGTTTAGTCATTGCTAATTGATGGAAATGATGCAACTATGTTGTCATTAAGGCTAGGCTTTTTTTTTTTTTGAGAAAATAAGGTAAAATTTTATTCATTTAGGCTAGGCTATGATATTCAGAAACTGTACAAGGATGATGTATCATGTCAAATACTTCAATATTTAGTCTAAATTTCATATTCAATGCCATATGCAGCAGTGTCCTTTCTTTATTTGGGTAAATAGGGGCTAGGTCTAGGTTTCAAAAAATACAGTCATTTCTAGTTTTGTTCTTCCTAGTCTTGTATTTTTTCCTTCTCAAAACAATCTTGGATACATTCATTCCACAGATGTTGTGTGTCTAAAACCTGCTTCTTAAAGTATGCATGTTTTTATAAACCTGTTAAGATTTTTCTTCCAAACACAACACTCTAAGGCACATGCTTCATTGACCTTCCATTTTTCTAGGCAAAATCTTCTTCGATCTCTCCCTTAATTGACTTGGGTCAGTTATCCCTTACGTTTTCATTAGAATTTCTCCCTATATAATATACCCTACTTTAGTTCAAACTCAATCCTTCTCATTCTAATTTATTTTTGTGCATTCTAACTATGAAGGTTTGCATCCGCCTTTTATCCTTGTCCGCCTTTTATCCTTGTTAATCAGCATTATGTCAGTGGCAAGTAGCTTATACAACACACTATCTTGGAACCTAGTTGGTTCAAGATTTATTCAATACCTGAGTGCTCAATATAGATTCAGTCTCTAACTTGCTAACTTGGTTATGCCACTTGAAAAACTCAAGTTTCATGTAAATTAATGATCTACTCGGGTCATATTCCATTTTATAATTTTGGAAAACTAACCATGAAACAAACCTTGTCCTAAAGCTCTCATTAACATGTCTAGATTGTATGCTTTTGTTTATCATGTAGACATACAAAAAGGCAAAGCAGTTTGACATGTTTTGAGTTTTGATATAGAAAGGTGACAGAAGAGTAAATTTTGGCTAAATTTAAGGACCTTTAACTTTCTCCATTTCTAATGAATAAAAAAGCTTCTCCATTTTCTTTGTAAATTGTGCATATAAAGCCTCTTCTTTCATGTGGCTTTTCCCTCTTCAACATGCATCCATCTGAATGCCATCTTCTCAAAAGCCCTCTATCACATGTAGAAATGAGTTCCTAGTATGAATAATTAGATTATTTAAATAGTTCTTGTTCTTTTTTTTTTTTAAGTTTTTGATAGTTCTCTGAGATAGGTTGGTCAATCTTCTTTTTACTACAGTGCAGGTCAATCAGTTGTAAAGAAATTTCCATCTTGATATTGTCAGGGAAATATATTGCAATCGTGTTGGTTGACCAGTACAAGTTGAGGTGGTACCGTGTTGTGCTTCTTTTCAGTATTTTCTCTCTTCCATTTAGTTGAAATGTTTTCATTTCTTTGACTTGCTTGAAATAATATCATACTTATGTCTTAAAGTTATGATAATGACAATTTTTTCCAAGAAAGCCTATCATATCTCACTATGTACCAAGAGGGGAAAGGGCGACTGGTGTCAGATAAAAGCAAGAATCAGAGAAATGGATTCTCAGTTTTCCCTTCTCAAAAGAAAATTGGCATATGCTGGACAAATGGACAGCTGCCAATCTACGATCACCATAATGTTTTCCTTGTGCTTTCTGTTTGTCATCATGCTGACTAAATATTTTCTAGTTTGTAACTATTTTAGTGTTGACTGAATTCTTTTCTCTTATTTTTTCGTTCTCTGATACCTTTGGCTGGATAAAAACTAAAGGTTTCTTATGGTTTTATATGAGATATTTCTTAATACAGAAAACTTCTAATAAATGCTTATCATTGAAATTTATCAATGCAGTCGGTCTTGGCTGGAGGATGTTTGTGTTTCAGCCTTCTATGCAGGAAATTCTGGCTACAGCGGTGAGTGGTGGTTTGTAATTATTGGCTACAGTACTTTTTGGTAGATCAAATAGGGAAATGATTTCTCTTTGAGGCCGCTTTTTGGTAATCCACCATTATTTATACCTACAAAAATCATTTTATCAATATTAACTATGGATGTTATTTTTTCTTGATGAGGCAACCCTGTTATAATTTTCTTCTGATTTTAATATATAAATACAAATTCTAATGTTATCTTGTTTGATATCCTAAGTAATTTCTAAAGAATGATCCATAGTTGTCAAGGCGTCACCTATCTTGTTTTCTATTTTGCTTTCCATCTTGAATTTTTATCATATAAAGTTAATAGCCTTATTTCGTTGCTAATTGATATGAAATTGCTCTATTAAATACTTATCATAGTAATATTGTTTTTGAAAATAATGAAATTAATAATTTAAAATATTTTTATCTTTTAAAAACTTATCATAGTAGTATTATGTTCTTAATAAAAAATTGCTATTTTTTCAATTAATATGCATGCTTAATGGTATATAAAACTAGGGAACTAGCCAAAAGTTAACTCTTTATTTTACAAAATTCTTATCACCCAAGTGCCCCAGTGTTGCCCAGAATCGCCTAGACACCTTGACAACTATGGAATGATCTTGGCTAAACAACTTGCTTGATAGTACTCAATATTATTTATATTGTACACCAGAATTTAAGCACGATTTATATATTGAATAAAATGAGGTAATAAATGATTTACAATTTAGATGCCTGCGACTGCAGTGTTCATAGGAATGTCCTATGTTACACTAAGTAGGAACCTCCCCTAGATTGTACAATCAGCACCAAATGATCCACTGCCTAGAGTTACAATCCCACTTCCCACCAGGATATTACCACATACTGGAGTACCTTATGGCCCTGTAGAGGACCTACCTATAGGGGATGTTGAGTCCATGGAAGCCAAGTTAAGAACTGTCCTCATGGATATTTTAACAGCAAAGCAACTTCAATTACCCTCCTTAGCTATTGAAGTAGATTTGCCAAACATAAATGGGTGCTGACAAACTGTTAGCGGTAGGCTATGGAGACTGTCATACCTCCTCAATAGAACAAGAGAAACTACAATGAGCAGGTTGGTTCAGATAAAATGGACCACACTTGACATCCATGAGTGAAGTCACAACCTATGAACTTGGGCCCATCCTGTCAGATTTGACTAGTTCAAGTGAGGCTCATATGGTGAATAGGAGATTCTTAGTCAGATCAAAGATTTGCTAAATATTTAGAAAAAAAAATTTAAACTAATTAGATTTGAATTTCTTTTCTCTGTTAGCAAGCATTTTCCTTGTTTATACACTTATTAAGAAGGTAAATATCATGTAGATCTCAAAATGATTTGAAGTTCATATATTAACATCATTATGAACACCCTTTTTTTTCATAAAGAACACCCTTTTAAGAATTAATGAAAGTAAAATTGTTTCTTAAAACTTGTGTTTCACTGCTGACTCCAAGTTCGAAGGTGTTGATTCCTAGAGAAACTGATGCAGGCATGAAAGCAAGGAAAGAATCCCTGGAAGAAATCAAGATTCTTCATATTCTTGGACCAATGACACTTTAATAATTTTTTTATTATTTGAAATTTGGTATTTTTAGTTGGCAAGTTAGGAATAGGATTTTGTCTTCTATAAATTTACTTTTCTTAGTAAAATTTAATATTACAATTTATTTCACTTTCAGATTTACTATTTATGGTAATTCCTGCAATTATTATTTTTTAGTAATTTCTGGTGTATTTAAATAAGTTAGTTTTTATAGGATTAGTAATGTGTTATTAGTTTAAGATTAGGTTGCCATAGTGGTTAGAATCTGTTTTGGGTTAGTTTCCTAGTTGAAATGGGAGTTTGTGAAGTTGATCTGAACCCTTGTGTTTAGCCTATAAATAGATCCATTGTGATTGGAATTTAGGGTCCGTTTGGTTCACAGTCGGAATCAGTATCAGAATGGTCCATTCCCATAGTCTGTTTGGTTCAGACAGGAATGAGAATGGGAATTGAAATCAGAAGGAATGGGATTTCATTCCCAAGGGAGGGACAGGGAATGGCCTTCCCTCAAATGGGGGAATGCCATTCCAGCAGGAATGGGAATGGGATTCCGATTACATCCAACTAAACAGTTGGAATCGGAATAGCCTATTCCGATTCCGATTCCAGACCCCTATTCCCACGAATCAAACGGGGCCTTAGAGTGGAATCAATGGAAAGCAAAGTTTCTTTTGAAGTCCTTCAGATAACAGTGTGATCTTCTTCTAAAAAGTGCATATTTTTTTCTCTTTATCTTTTCTATTTCAGATCTGAATCCCTTCTTCAGTTGTTTGCCGATGGCATTGTTTTAAATGATGAAACTAACAAAGGATTAAGTGCAAAATGAATCTTTTGGACAAATGCCTCAGAAACAAGGGAAATTTATGGCTTGCCCCATCTCATAATTTTTATTCTTCTTTTGGTTTTATTTACCAAACCACTCAGGTATAGAGGTGCATCTTGAGCGGGCCCTACCTGAGCCCGGACTACCCAGCCCACAATTTTACACAGGCTGGGATTGGACTTTTGGTCCTCAAGCTGGGCCAAGCCCAACAGTTCAGTTTTTTTTTTTTTTTTTGTTTTTTTTTTTTTTTTTCCTTGTTAAGGGTTGACTATAAGGCTGTGATTTGATTCCTTGGAGAAATGGCTGAATGCCAAGGCCAACTTTAATGTTTTTTTTTTTTTTTTTGGCTGGGCTCCGGCCTAGCACTTTGGTAGCCAAAGCCCGGCCTGACCTTATCCCAAATCAAGGCCAGCCTAATTATATACATGTATATATGCATATATAGATACATATTTGCATGCATACATGCATATATGCATAACTCATTTTAATAAACCATACATATATGCATACATGCATGCATAGATACATGTATATCAATTTTTAGTGAGCTGATTGACCAACTTGAGCCCGGACCAGGCCCCAGCCCAACCCGAGTGCATAAAATTTTAGTGCAGGATGGGCTTGGATTGGATAGTTTAGGCTTGATCTCCGAGCTCAGGCTGGGTTCAAGCTTTAGCCTTTAGGCCCACTTCTTAGGGTTGGGCCTGGGTTGAGCTAAAACCTAGCCCAGCCCACCCGGTTTGCACCCCTACTCAGCTATGATACGATACTACCCCTTGTATTTTGATTGATTCCTGCACTTTATCACTTTTCCCAACCATACAAACCAATAAAAATTTATGAGGTGGGGGAATCAATAAAAACCCCTAGAAACAAAAGTAAGAAGGATTAAAACAAGATATATGACGTAAATTTAATAACAATGGAAGTGCAAAGCAGGGTATACTTAGGATTGGAGAGCAAGGGATAACTCAATGTGACCTTTTTTATTACCTTGGTTTGATAATCATGACAAGGGAGAGATTGAGGAGGAGGAGGATGTCACCCATAGAATTAGAGCAGAATGGGCAAAATGGATGGGTGTATCTGGACTTTTATGTGATAGGTGCAAAAAGAAAATTCTATAAAACAGTTGTAAGGCAACCTATTTTGTATGAAGCAGAGTGTTGGACAGTCAAGAAAAAACATGTACAGAAAATGAGTGTGGCCAAAATGTATATCTGAGATGGGTGAGTGGAAAAGCTAGAAAGGATAGGATCAGATTATCAGAAATGAAATCATTTGTAGAAACTTAGGAGTAGCTCCAATAGTTGATAAAATGAGAGAAAGTAGGCTAAGATGGTTTTGTCATGTGCATAGAAGACCATCAACAGCACCTGGAAGAAGTCATTTATTACAAGTTGAAAGGGCTAGAAGGGCAAGGGGTAGATCAAATAGGACAGGAGTAGAAGTAGTAAGAAATAATTTAAGTGCCAATAATTTAAAAATGGATATGGCATTAAACAAAACAAACTGGTGAAACAGGATTCATGTAGCTGACCCCTTATAGTTGAGATAAGGATTGGATGATGATGATGATGTCCTGAACTCCTCAAAATTCAAATCCTTAATTTTCCCTCCTCTTCCCTCCACATTCATTCCTGTAGGACTTTTCTCTTTCTGCATTGGTGTGGGGTTCTCATGGAAAATAAAAAGATCTTGTAATAGTACCGTGGAATCCTTGAAATGTAACTGAAGGAATACAACTTTTTATGGGGTCTCCACTTGTTATAGCTTTGATCTTCCCAAGAATTTGTTTCACTTGGGCAAGACATAAATGGTCCAGCTTTCTTGTTTAAGCATTCCATTTACACGTTAATGAGAATTAGTCAACTTGGAGAGGATTTGATGAGTGTGCAGCAGTACCTCTTCACAAACTCAAGTGGTAGAGTTGATTGGAGTCATTGAAGTAACAGGGTAAGAGCAAATAATTTAAGAGATGATGTGGAGGAAATTCCCTTAGGCTTAACTTTCTGTTTTAAAGGAAATATTTTGATAAAGTTGAAGAACCATATTAGTTTCATGGGCAAGCTACCTTCCTAATCCTAACTTACCATTTTGTCTCCAACAAAAAAAAAATAAAAAGGTAAAGCATCATAAAAGTGAAAGAAAAATTATAAGAAATCTTGTTGAAATCTGAAGTGACTTCTGTAGATGATCATTCACCGAGTTTGGAAGGTGGGGGATGTTAAGGTAGTTAACCTAATTGCTTTAGTAAGTGAGGAATGCAGTAATGCCATTCTGAAGTTTTCCTCTTAAAGTTGCATCTGAAGACAAAGGAATATGCAGCATCTAAGGAATGCTTCCTTGTATCTAAAGTAACTTGCGAAATTGTCTGAAGATCTACAAGAAGGGAAAATTGACAAAGTTAAAATTTATCTCTAGTTCCTTACCTTTAATTCTATGTTCCGCACCATATAAATTCTATATTTCATTCTTACAGGGACCATATAGAATATAAGTTTCTACTTCGTAATTTTATGATTAGAGTTCCATATAAAATTTATCTAGAGTTAAGTTTTATTTTTATGCTTAAGGTACTATATAAATTCTAGATATTAACTTTCCTGTTTTTCATATTGCAGGTCACTATATTGTGGTATGTGGCTATGATGCAGAGAGAGATGAATTTGAAATAAGGGATCCAGCCAGCTCCAGGTACCATTTCCTTTTAGTTTCCTCAGTATTAGATGCCACCATCTTTCATGATTGATTGGATTGATGATATGTTCAATGTGATGCAAAGATTTCTTTTGATGCATACTCGTGGTGCTTCAACTTAATGAGACCATTAATTTATATGTATATTTTAGTAATGGCTTTCCATAAATGATGGTTATTACTACACTGCTTAAAAATGTGCTTGAAGTTATGTGATTTTTGCATCATGAATTGTCAGTGGAAAGCCCTCATGTTGTTTTCTGACATCATGTCTGCTGGAAAAAGCAAAGAAACTGTATCCATTTTTCATTTCTTTCATCCTTCTCAACTTCTTTCACTTTTCAGTGTGTTCCCTGTCATTTTACCTGGGACAGTTGATAGCTGCTGTTACAGGTTTGACAGGAAGAATCTTTACTATATGAATGGATTACTGCCTGCCAGATTTTGGTTATGCCATTGTCTGCCAGGTGATCTGTAGAGAGTTATTTATTTATTTTTCTTCTTTTTCCTGTAGAGTTCTTTATTTCTGATGAATTGGCAACCTCCATGCATTTTTGGTACAATGCAGTAGTCAATTTCAAATATTAATTAGTAACCCTATATTAAACATTTAGAAAAGAAAAAGTTTTGGTCAATGGAGTTCTTTTAACCTTCTTTAGCAGTGATGGATCTCCCAATATCAATGTGAACCTACAGAAACACAACTTGCATGTTTTCCTTGTATACAATTACTTTCATAACATCTATACTTTTGGTTTTATAATGCTTATGGTATTCATCCATCTCTTAGACCAAAAACTCTCTCATAGTACAACCTCTGCATATTGACAAATTGGAAACTTTGGGAAATAATTCCTGTTGTCATTTTGAATACTCATGTGTTAATCTGTAAATCATTGTGCATTTGAGTATTTGTTTTATGAATCTATAGCTAACAGCATTTATGTCAGAGTGACAGTGGCATCAGTCCCACAGAAAATAGACATTTATCTTGAATAAATATTGTTTCAGAACATGGACAAGTTTTATTCATTCAACCTAATGATATTCTGTGATCAATGTTAACATGAAATGTGCCAAGAAGAGCCTTAATTTTTTTTTCAGGTACAAATACTGATCAATGTTTATAATTATCACTCTTAGTATGATAACCCTAACTGAATACGTTTAGTTATATCCTTATTTCAAATTTTGGAAGGACTCAATTCACGTATAGAAGATTAGGTATCTAATGTTTTAGATGATTTTTTTTAAAAGAGATTTTCATCAGCACTTTCTTTTTCTTCTCCTTTATTTGTAAAATTTTCTCAACAAACTTTTAAAACAGGAATTTGGTTATTAGGGGGCATGTATTTTCACTTGTTTGTTCATGAATTCTTGCCTCCGAGTAACTTCAAGGCATTTCTCCTGATGACATAAGAAATAACCTCCTGGAGATTTTTCAGCCTTCCCCTGCTTTTCCATTTGTGTGGGCTCCCGTCCCCGTGTAACATGGTAATACAATTAGGAGATCACAAGGAAATCCAAGATTGCCAGGCATAAGTGGGGATTGCAGACTCCAAAATGCTGAAATTATTGCCCTCCCTATAGTTTCTCAGATAGCTAGCCGGGCAAATATTGCATCTTTTTTAGTGGAAGGCAATTCAAAAGCAAATGTCGCTAGATGAGCCAAGGTGTGGTAAGGGGCCCATGGTGTCTCACTTCCTAAACAAAGCCAGGGAACTCTTAGCTTCCATTACAGATGATATCCAATGGACTTCAAAAAGAAGTCAACATGGTGGTTCAGTCAGCTAGAGCTGGGGTAGAAAGGACCTCTATGTACGGTGACAGCTTTTTTACCTACCTAATTTTTTAGATGGACTGCTCATTTGCAGAATTTTGTACACAGACATACAACCTCATGTACACCATTTTGCCAAGCATTTGGCCTATGAAAGGTGCTACGGCATACAATAAGATTTTTTTTTTAATTCCAAAGTTTTATTTTAAATGATAGTTATTTTTTCCTTACAAAGTTAGCTGAATGTTCAAGATGAGCAGGTGGGACCCATTTTAATTTTTTTTCTCTTAACTTTCTTGCCAACCAAATAGAAGTTTAAGAAAAATAAAAATTTCCTCTTCTTTTCTTTTCTATTTCTTGTCGTCTTTCATTTTTTTTTTATCTTTTATTGACAACCAAACAGAATCAAAAGGTCAAGACTTGACAGGAATAGGAAAAAAATGAGACGGGAAGAAGCCATGCCATCATATTTTGTTGCACTCCATCTAACAGACATCCCAAGTAATCATGACCCACCGTCGGATCTGTCACACCAATTATTTCATCCAGTAGGTTTTTTTTTTTTTTTTTGATAGGATGGAAAAAAGAGGATGATAGACCATTAAGCATAGAGATCAGAAGTGGTTTCCAATAAAAAAAAAATAGAGATCAGAAGTGCTGAAAAAAGTAGATAGACCTTTACTTAATAAATTCTTTCTTTAGAGAACTTGCTTGAACTCACAATTTATTAGGGGATCATCATCATCAGAACCCATATAAATGTATTTATTAATTATCAATTATTAACTTAAATTGCTTTTTATTAATTTCCAAAGCTTTTGCAGGAAATGTGACAAGGTTTCCACGGGATGCCTAGAAGAAGCCCGCAAATCATTTGGTACCGATGAGGATCTTCTCTTGGTAATCTCTCAGTTTGTTTCCATCAATGTTGCCAGGCTTGGCCAGACTGGACGGTTGAACTGGTGACGGTGACCCAGTGACCTTTCTATATCCCAGTTAAAATGACGGTTTTCACCATGGTTTTTAAAACTGACATGGAGACCGAACCGGTCAGGATCCGGTTATTGGGTCGAACGGTCCGATCATTTGAATCGACTGCTTGGCCTGTTATGACAAAAAAATAAAAGATAAAATAAAATGGTTAAAACCGTTCGAATGGTTAATCCCCAGTTCAGCGGTTCGCTGACCAAAATCAACAGTTTTGAGGGAAAATCTCGTTTTTGGGGAAAACAGAATTGGTTCCCGTTTTTTCAGTCTGACCGTCTGGTCCGGTCTGGTTTTGAAAACCATGGTTTTCACCCAGTGAAGAGCTCGGATCTCTTACCCATGAACTGTTTTCACATCCATACCCACTGGACACTACGGGCATGCATTGGGAATATATCCCTTGTCATTCATGGGGAGAGATGTTCCTAATAGACAGCGGTAGTGTCTTGTAGGTATGGATGTAGGAAATTTGTGGGTAGGAGATCTGGAGTGCCAGCGAGCTCGGTTCTCTTGCCCACAAACTGTTTCCCGTTTTTATCTGGTCTGAGTCTGACAACATTAGTTTCAATAATGTTTACCTTGTTTTTGCATTGCATCAAAGCATTTTCGTAATGGTCAAGAAGGAATATGATTTGCCCATCATTTTCTTCTTACTTTCACAAACCAATTTACTCGGTGGGATGTTTTATAAGATCAAGGAATAGATATGACATTTGATGAAATTTCTTTAGGGGCAGCTTTAACTGTCAAGGTTTCCTTGTGGACTGTCAAATGCAGATCTCATTGGACAAAGACAAGCTCTTGCTGTAACCCTCCGTGTGTTCCAATATTTATTCAAGATGCATGTCTCTCCAATCAGATTGATTGTATCATTTGTTGATTCTATGACTTTGTGCATCATTTGTATGTTAAAATAAAAACAAAGTAGCATTCGTTTCTCAATAGTCAAGGTTTCAGCCAAATTTCTCTCTGGTGAATTGGGAGAGTATCTTGTGCTTATTTCAATTTGATGTTTTGCAAATGGTAAGCCTGTTATTCCACTCTGGTATCAGATACACTACTATGTAATCTCATCCAAGGCTCAAATTTAAAAATAAATGTTTTATAAGCATACAACCAAAAAAATAACCTTTATTTTGGAGGTAGGATTTATGTGTGTGTATTCATGGTGTGTATCCAGGTCATTGGACTGTTTCTTCAAATGGGTAGCTGATATCCCTCAACAGTCTCAAGCAAACAGAATAAGGCTCCCCTTATGGGCCCATTTATATTTTATTACCCCCCTCTAATCCACTTTAGATTTTGGCCCCCTGCTGAAAATTTCCTCCGCCCCTGTTACCAAGATACCATCACTGGATGAAACATAAATCTTCCGAAATATATCAAAAAATTGTTGCTTTTGGACAACCGCACTTCAACAATGGTCTTATTAGGATTTTGTCGTTCAGTGTCGTTCAACCTGAATGAACATGATTGAACCAAGGTTTTTCTTATTTGCTAATTCTATATTTTCAATTGAAAAAATGATGCGCCGAAATGGAGTTTTTGAGTTGAGGTATTTGATAATAGAAAATAAAGGAGTGTTGGTAGATATTAATCAGTTGGTTACTGACAACTAGACTTGTTCATGGGCTGGGTGGCTCGACCCCCGAACGGGTTTGAACATGCTTATAGGCCCGTGGGTTTAAATTTGGGCCAAAAAGCCTGGCCTGCAATAAATTCGAGTTGGGCTTGGGTTTTGTCAAAATAGTCCGGCCCGAGCTTGGTCCGGCCCGAACCCGGCCTAGCCCGACCTAATATTAAACTTAAAATTAGTTATGTGATTTATGTCCATTTGAATAATTTTTTTGATTTAAGAATATAAAATTGTGTTTTAAAATGTAAAAGAAAGGGAAAAATACCATCTTGTAGGCCCATTGTTCATTTAAATAGAAAAAAAAATACTATTTGAATTTTTATTCTAATTTGTTAGGGAAAATTGTTTTTTTTTCAATTAGGTCGGATTTCGGGCTCGGGCTCGGGTTTCAAGCTTTTTACCAGGGCTGGGCTTGGGCCCAAGTTATAAGCTCGTTGATCAGGCCGGACTTGGGCTCGGGCCTAATATATTTTCATTCAATAGTGACAAGTGAAAGCCCGGCCCATGAACAGGTCACTTGCAACACAACTTTTCTGTTCTTCACTATGAAAGCACCCATGAAAAGACAAAACTACAGGACAAAGACAAGAGTTCCGGCAATTTCTTTATTTATTAGCATTCTTACAGACCATAAACCAAGTTAAATGGTGCATTGCAAGAATCGAGTATAAGTTCCATACCACAATACCTGGGATCAATTTAAATCCTGTCTGGACTCTGGAGCAATACAGAATGTTGGCTCATAGATAGAGTAAATAAAAAATAGAATAAATTGAAAATGAATTGCTTATTGGAAGAGAGAGAGTGTGTGCGCGCAATGATTTTGTTTCATGGCAACCATTTTAGATGGGGCCATTTAGATGTAGACCAACCATTTTAAAAAATAGAATAGTTCATTATTTAGAAGGAAAAAAACTAAACACTAGCCTGCATCTACTATTCTACTTGGCCAAGTGAATTTCAGTATTTCACTATGGCAAGTCATTTTCTGTTATTAATTCTTATTACCATATTAATATTTTAGGAAGATGGGTGATTGGTTTATGGCAGTGGCAGTCGGTGGCAGATTGTCAAAGTTTGGAAACATCTTCCCAGGTCCTAAATTCTAACAGCAAATTAAACTATAACTCTGTCTTCTGTGTGTGAATTATCAATAATAGACTATAGAGTAAGTATGTTTTCTGCTGGAATTAATTGTGGTGAGATTGAGAAGACAACCTCCGACAAACACCTATTATCCCGTAAATCAATGCGACATGTCGGTGGCAACACCTTCACATACATAAAAATTTATTAGATCCCATCATCCAATCCATGTTTTAAAGTAATAATACAACTTATTCGCAGCCATTCATTCCCTTCCCAACAAAATCCAAAACTATGTCTACAGCCCAGCACATGATATGTCATCAATCACACACATGATATGTGTGTGTGGAGGTCGATACCCTTCTATCTTTTTGAGTTTAAATTAATTAATAATTAGTCAGACTCATGTGATGCATAGGTTTTATTTTTAAATAAAATTGGAGACGGAGCTTTATGACATTTTTAATTAAGTGATATCCATCTAAGTCCAATTCAAGTATTACTTTTTGGATTATGTCTAATTTATCTTATTACAATCTAAGTTGCACTTAATCAGACAAAGTGGCCAATTTCCTATGTTCTAGATAAATTTATATTATTTTTTGTATCTTAGTGTTAATTTTTTTATTAATTTTTTTATTTTTAATGGTTTATTATTACTTTTGTATTATTTTTAGGTAAAATTATTAAAAAAACTCCTTTTATAACAATGAGACCGGATCTGCTTCTCACAGAGGGTGCCTCACACGCACATCCTACCATGTATTGGGAACATCTTCCGTACTTTTAAGTTATTATTCACAGGAGATGTTCCCAATGCACGATGGATGTGCATGTGAGGCGCCCAAGTGTGAGGAGCAGATCCCGTCTCTATAACAATACTATAAACCACCTTTCTATTTTGACCCTAACAAAAGCCTCCCTATAGTTTTGATAAAAAAAAAGTGCAAATAACTCATTTCCCTTGGCTTTTTAATAACAAAGACATTGAAATTACCAAAATACATTTATTAGTGTTAAGGTGATTTAAAGTTTCAACTTTACCCTCCACTAATTTGTTTTGTTAAACAACTTTCAAAGAATAATTCTCTTTGTTCTTCTTGGAAAAATGTAAAAAGGTTTATATCTAATGTATATAAACTTATACTTAATTTGGAATAGATATAGATAAATTTGACGAATTTAGTCAATTCCATGGAATAAATGACAGGAGAGAGAATTATTGGCTTAAGTTATTCAATGAGAGAGTTAAAGTCATAATTAATAAGAGATAATTAATGAGTCGATGAGAAAGAGGAGAGAGAGTTAATGTGTGAATTAATGAATAGAGTTTAAAAGTCTTAAAATTGATTAGCCACTTGAGCTATTTTGTTCAATTTAAAAAAAAAATCAAAAGAAACCAAAATAAATTAAGTGCCTTTGAGAAAAATTCAGAAAGCAGAAAAATACCAACTTGGAAAATTCCATTTTAATATATAGATATAGATGGTGTGTATCCGATTGTCAATGAAGAGAAATGAGGAGGGACTAATTAGAAGCATCAAGATTTAGTCATGTGCTTGCTTCCTTATTTAGGCCATGTTAGGGAGTGCTTATGTTAAATATAAGTGATTATTCAAATAAGCACTTATTTACATTTGGCACCCAACTTATTCAAGTTCTTATTTTAAAGAATAAGCACTTATTTAATATTGGGGGATTTGGTAGTCTTTTTCTCCGATAAGCACTTAAATAAGCATTTGTGATTATCTTGTCCTTCATTTTCTTTCAATTTTATGAAAACATTTTTATTAATCTTAGGAAAGCACTTTTACAAGAGTAGTTTTATGAAAGCACTTTATTAAAAAAACCTCTACCAAAGTAATTTTGTGAAAGCACTTTTATAGAAGTATTTTTACAAAAATACTTTTACAAAAGCACTTTTATAAAATTCAACTAAGGATAATTTTAAAAGAAAAAAGATTGAATAAGTGCTTATTATATAAGCACTTAAAAAAGTAAATTTTGGGTTAAAAAAATAAACTCTTATTTTAAAAAATAAATACTTATTTTGGACTTACACCAATATTATGGCCCCGACCCTAATAAACACTTATTTTGAATAAACACATGTTTTCAAACACTCTCAAATATGGCCTAATCGGAATGAGGAGACGTACGAGTGAAGGCTTTCCTAATTCTCCACTTATTTTCAATTTACACCATCCATCAATTGGATGCTATTTTTTACAAATAATTATGTTTCGATGTTCGGTATAAACAGCTAATACCCACTTCCCAAAGCAAAAGACTATACCTTAATCCTGTTGTGTATTTGTGGTGGAGTTGGACCTTCTTTTCTGAACTGTTTCTATCCGCCAAAGGTAAAGGTTTCATCAATTTTATCTGCTATAGAAATCTCCCTGTTGTCAAGTGTTATACAAGTCATTCCACATAGCTCTTCCTTCACATCTCATGGAAGACCCCTCTTCTATTAATGTAATCTTATCATTTTCCAAGATTCAAGATTTTTTTTTTTCCTATCCTGTCTATATTATCAGGGTGTGTCTATTTTAATTACCAGAAATAAATTGATGTGGTCATATCAGACAATCCAACGGCTGTGTTTGATTAACACATTTGACGCACGCAAATGGAGGTTGTCTGCAATGTTGGGGTCACCATTCACCAAAGGCGTAGATTGCTTAGGTCAACCACCGAGTTCTCACTTCTCCCATGCAGGCTTATTGGCTTATTGCTATCCATAGACGACATCGCTCGAGGTCGAGGGTTATGATTCTGCTGCTCGTGATGATCTTGATCGGACCCGGCATCATCGACGAATTAACCTACACTGCAAATAATTAAAGTGGCAGATTGGATTACAAATAAAGCCCATTTGATTTTGAGCGTAGGGTCTGGTCTGTTCATCTAAATTTGAATTTGAATAATTTCCCATGTGACTAACTACTAAAATTGACTTTGGATGAATTTGGAAGGAGTACAAATGCAAATGTAAATATGTAGTGTAAAACTAAAACCTTATATTTTGTTTATTTATTTACATTCCTATTCTTTTTTTATCAAAAAAAGAATTAACCTCCATTGCATCCTGCCTATAAATATAATGCTGCTGCTTTTCACGTTCCAAAGATCAGAGTTACGATTCTGATTTCCTCTCTCGTCTCATCTTAAATCGAACTCCGACATCATCATCTCTCTCTGAGCATTCTTTAAGTTAAATGCAAAATGAAACTCTGGATGGGCATTTATAATTCATAGAGAACTCCCATACGAGGTGAGGCATTGACCTAGCAGGCGACATTACATGCATTGCCAAACTGAGTTCGGATGTGCTACAGTTTGTTG